TGTCTCTCTTTCTCTCTCTCTCTCTCTCTCTATATATATATATACATCACTCTACACCATTCTGATCATAGCTCAATTAGATCTCATTTAAATATTGATGGAGACCTACTGGACTCCATTTGTAACATACTTGTTGACAACACAAATATAATAGCGCCATGTACATGCAAAAAAATGCTAATGATAATTGAATCCGTATTAATAAAAACAAAAAACCAACACTCAGTAATATCAACTATGAAGATGGACACAATATCTTGACAGTGTTTCGAAAAAGAAAACATTATATAAATACATACATGCAACAAACTATTTCTTATTTAACAGTTAAAATATTTCAACCTTAAAAATGTCTAAATGTATAGCTGAAAGCGCTCGGATAAAAAGAACATTCTTTTTAGATGATAAATTATATAAAATATAATTTATCATCTAAAAAGAAAAAATATTAGATTACATGAGAAATTGTATAAAAAAACTAAATAAAAGCATCTTATCCATCCTATTCAATGAAATGTTCATGGAAGAAGTATTGCTGCCTAAATACACAAATATATACACAGACACACACACACACACACACACACATATATATATATATATATATATATATATATATATGCAGGGTGTATTAGAAATAATTTTACAAAAGAGGAACAAAAATTCATATAAACATTATGTCCGCAAATCCTTCGCTTTTGAGTTATTAATAATGCAGAGACACTTCCTCAACATGTCATTGGCGGGGGGGGGGTCTGCGAAACCATTCCACACTGTATGGGAGTGTTAGAAAGGGTCCGCCAGTCAATGATCGGACGGGTGCATATGTGCGTAGAAACAAGCGGTGGAGATTTTGAATATTTGTTATGACTTGAGGTACAATGATGGCCCTTTGTTTATCAGGACATTTTACCTTATTTTGGAGTGAGGAAGCCACCCCCAAAGTTTGTAAAAGTATTTTTAATGCACCCTATTAAATATATCATATCCTTTTCAAGATACCGTTTCAAGTGCTGAATGATATTTTATTTAATCAATGCTGTCTATTTTGTATGATAATAGTTTCTCGGTTCTTCTGTTGAATCTTTCCATGTATTCAGTGATGTAGAATATTTTCCTATATATTTTATTAGTAATGTTTGTTTTAGTTGCATTTTAGTTGTCGTGATGTTTTAGTTGCATTTTAGTTGTTCGTCGATATACGCAATTTTGGAAATGCAATCTCCCAGAAGCGGGTGAAAATATGTAAAGAACATTATGTTTCACGAGCGATTTTTGAGGTTCCCTGTTGTTGGTAATGATTAGATAAGAAAGATGCTTTAAACTAATTATAGTAAATGATAAATCTAAGTTAATTGTTAGGATCGATCAGTGATATGTACCGGCAAATTACATTTTTAATTTCCTTTTTGTCCAGTTTATCATTAGGGTGCATTAGTTGATTACAATAAAATAAGTGTGTTTATTTTTGTATCTGTGAGAACACTGACTTTTGAGAGGTGGAAAGTTATAACTCTTGGCGCCGACAAGGATATATATATATATATATATATATATATATATATATATATATATATATATATATATATATATATATATATATATATACAATATTGCACAATACGAAGCAATTCTCCAACGCTAGTATTTTTGTTTTGGCTTAACACAAATTTAATGAAATTTCTAGTTATCGTGAGATACTTTATTGCTGCGCTGGAAATATTGTTGTTACTTAAAATATTGAAATGAATCACAGTATAATTTTGAATTTGAATTTAGGTCCAGATCAACATTTAAGATTGAATATAAGGTTGGAAATAAGAATTATAAATTAGAGTGACGCTGATGTTATAAAAGCAATAAACAAGAAGAGACGTCAGAAATTCGGTGTGGGGGGGGGGTAAAGTCTATTTTTTCCAGAAAATCAATAAAGTAATTAATAATATTATTAATATTATTAATATTAATATTAATAAACTAACTGAAAATACTTTGTCCACTGTGCCATGTGTCCTTGACACATGGCACAGTGGATAAAGGCGTTGGTTAGATCTAGTGACAGGACCCAAAAGTGTCTGAGTTCAAATACCCAGTTAAGGCAGTGGAGAACTTTCAGAGGGAAATTAACAGGAAATAACTGATAACTGACATCCATTAAACATGGCATGTAGAACTAGAACAGACTACCCCAGTGAGCGAAATAAAGGGTTCAGTTCAACATTCCAACCACCTGAAGAAGGCCGGAGCGTACAACGACCGAAACGTTATGATAAATATGGCGACAAAGATGAGGACAATAGTCCGAATAATGTAAAAGTAGTGATGTCAATAATAATAATAATAATAATAATAATAATAATAAAATAAGCCGTGTCAAAATAAAATAAAATTAATGTACTAATAAAAATCGTACATATCAACAATAAAGTTTATTGCGGAAATTAGAAATGGCATTGAACCGGTGTTAACCTTAAACAAAAATAACAAAGCTTGAGAATTG